GACTAACTCTTCGCAGAATTTCAGGGCGACATTGTATTTGTAACGATGAAAAATATACTGAAGTCGCAAACAACAGCGACTTTTTATCAGAACCACAACCATGCAGAAGTCTTCACTAAACAGGTTTTATGCTCTTGCATTTCAGCTATTTTATTTTTGTATTTGTTAAAATAAAAAAGAGTAAAACTGTTACACATGCATTTGAGCATGAAATATATGTTAATTTAATAAACATATATACACAAAAAATGACAGTTTTATTATATTTGGTTAAGCATGCAGCACTATGTGGCCCTCTGGTACTGTCAGTGAAAACTGTGCCCCCTTCCATCATTTAAGCTGTCCATCCTTGACATAGGCTACACAATATATTGTGTTTTTTAGTCAGTTATTGATTGAKTTTTTTATATAAATATTGCACATTTAACAAAGTCTAACGTGGTTACTAAATTTAGTCCTGTGACCTTTTTATTATACTGCACTGAGATGAACATCACTGACATAAAAGGGGAAGTGAAACTCAGACAGCTGCATAACAGCTGGGCCAAAAATGGAAATGAAAAAAAGCAAAAATAAAAAAAAGAGATCACCATTTTAGCCTGAAATAAAGGCTTCATTGATTTTTTTCCCCCACCTCTTCTTGAAACACATGTCATGTGAATTTACCAAGCCAGTGAAATTTATCAGGAACATTTTAAATATTTGAAAATSACTCAGCAACACGTTTAAAGCATTTAAGTATTTATTTACCAACAGTCTTCTCCTTGGTCACTCTCCAGATTAGTGGACCTTCATAAAGCATCTTCCTTTGTGTCAAGTCAATACTCTGAAACAGACAGAAGGAAAGTGGTGAGAGAAKCCTGAAATAAAAATAACATAAACAGGTAATACTGAGGAGCACTGCTGTAATAAAAATACCTTATACTCAGTATAAAGGTCATTCATGGGTTTGAGCCCTGATGTGTCCAGTTTCTTCTGGTACTCCTTTAGAGACTGGGGGCAGAGAGGAAAAACAGGCCAGTCAGACAGCCATTTGACGAGTTCAGCACTGAAGCAGCAGGARTCCAAGAGCAAASYGCTTCAAAAGACTCCAACTGGTGCTCAGTGGGTGCAAAACAGTTTGTTGAGAGTTCGGTTTGGTGTTTCTTACCAACATGTTGCCCACTTTTTTGACCTCTTCGTTGACATGGTTGAGGATCTTTTTGCAGCACTCTGCACTCTGCTGGATTCTCTGCTTCTCTGTGGGGTCCTCTGTCAAAGGCAAACAACACAAAGCTAAAAGAYAAAACAGCTTTCACAGAAAAGCCTGAACAAAAGCTAGATAAATCAAAGGTGTACACTCTGCGTACAGATATTTATCCACTGTTTAAATGCTTTTTGGAGGCGTGTTGTCTCACATACCAACAGTGTGTTTAAACATTCTACTTTTTGCACGTTTACAAAAAAAAAAAAAGACTAAAAAAAGGGTCAACCATTATTATAACTTAAATTAATTTTCTGACATAGAGCTGTGAGAACAAACACTGATAAAGATATCTTCTTTAGATGAATTAGGCCATGCAACTTTATTAGTAGGACTACTATGAAATTAGTTTGGATTTTAATTATTTTACAAATAAACACATTTTATTTTTTAATCACTTGTGCCAAAATAAGGGCACAAATCCACATAAATTTAAATTCCAATTTCCATCTAAAAACAAACTTTACATTGTGGAAAAAAATACAATACTGCACAGAATATAACTATAAAACTGCAGTATCAGTACTGACACCCAATAATTCCTCAATATGATTCATACAGRCACTGAAAAATAGCAAAGACTTACTATTACCCACTCTCACATACACACCTGTGTTCTTAGCAATATTTTCAAGCAGCAGAGGATACTTTGTGAGCCTCTGCATCTCTGTTGGAATAATGTCTTTGAGCTGCAGCCGGCGGCACTGAGGTTTACTCTCTGCCTCCTGAGATTGATACAAACCAAACAGGGTCAGAACGATGCCACCGCTGTGACCTCTTGTATCAGCGAGAACATCTATTCGTTAAATCTTTTGGAATTTATTTTAGAGATTGCTTCTGGGTCCGTGTCTTTATACCTGTATGAAAGCGTTAAAGCGTGGTTCCTTCTTCTGCCTGCTCTTGATTTGCTCCAGAGCCCACGTTTGGTGACTGCTGAACCGGGCTGTCAGTTTCTGAAACCATTCTCCTTCTGCACCGTCGAACTTCAAACAGAAGGACATACAGTTAAAGTGGCGCGTTGTGCTGGGTAAAAGCAAAACATACAGGTCCTTCTCAAAAAAATTATCATACTGTGATAAAGTTCATTATTTTCTGTAATGTACTGATAAACATTAAACTTTCATATATTTTAGATTCATTGCACACCAAC